CTTGCGCATATCTGCATTAGATGATTTGCTAAAAAAAAATAAAGACAATATGTCTATCTGTGAAAAAAAATAAAAATAAAAAAATAGTAAGCATGAGTTTTGAAAAAATATGAGCAAGTGTTGTAAATTGTGCTTCTAAATGATGGAGTATTAAAGGCTATGGAAAGAAGTTTGGTTTTGTATTGTACATGTTCTCTCGAGATAGGTTTTTTTTTTTTAAATTACTGAATATCCTTCATTTCAAAACTCTAATCCCAATGCCCCATTACAACCTTAAATAAAGACTTATCTGATCCCAAGAGTGTTTTGATAGATGCATAACTTGTGTGAATAAAGAAAAGAATGGGGATTATTTGTTTATTGTGTAATGATTTCCCTTCATGAGACTATGTCAAATACTTTTCTTTTGAATTACAATTATTTAAACAGACATGTGAGCATTATTTTATTTTAATTTAAATATCTTCTTCTCACATGTGATATTTAAGAGAATAGTCACTATAATCTAAGATAATCTTTTATGAATGAATTATTTAGTGAGATTTGGCATTGAGACGAATAGTTGATAGTTGAAGAGGTGATTATTGAATAAATTATTGACTTGGTATAATTAATTCACACTACACACGAGTTTATATGAGAATATGATAAGTGCATACATTTGTATAGCATAGAGTTCTATATTTTGCTTTGCATGAGCTTATAAAAAAGTTTGTATCTTAAAATTTTTATATTTTAGTAGCAATTTGTGTTATAAAATTATTATTTGGATATTTGATCATAGGAAGATGTTTGGGGGTATCATATCTGGAAACCCTCACGAGACTATACTCGTCCACTAGGGAGAATCTAGGGGTTTATAAGCTTGTTGCATAGGCTAAATGCAATCATGAATTCTACGAAAGTGGTTTTATTTTTGATTAGTAGTTTTTTTTTAATTTTTTTTTTTGTTTACCTTACTATGGACTAGCAAGGTCTGAGTTGGGGGGGGGTGTGATTAAGGTTTCATAATTACATTATTTGTTGGAAAAGATTGATTATTTGGATAGAAAAAGTTGGTAAGCATGATAAATTGTTAAATAATTGATGATTTGTTAGTTATGAAAGACTTGTGTTTATTTTGTAGGATAATGGCTATAAATTGGAGGAAATTAAGTTAAAGTGGAGCAAGGTTGAAAAGAAGCTTATTGGAACATGCATTCGAACGGTGGAATGTCTTGTGTCCGGACGTGAATGGCAGAATGTGAGATTCGAGGTGTTTCTGAAGGAGAGCATACTGGAAAATCCGTCCAGACAGTGGACAAAATCGCGTCCAGACGTATGAAGCAGAAACTGAAGGCTGTAGGAAAGGAACGTACTGGAAAATGCGTCCAGACGGTAGAAAGCATGCGTCCGGACGCATTTTGCCAATCTGCCAACGCCAGTAGCAGAATTCAACTACAATTAGACCTTTTTTCAAATAGTGTTATATATAGGAGATGATGGTTGTGTAAAAGATACTTTGGGTGTAGTCTTTTAATTTATTTATTTTGTTGGTTTATTATCGTGTCTAGCTAAAAAGCTTTGGTAGGGCTAGGGGAAAACCTCTCAATGAAGTACAGTAATGTTATTAACTTATGAGCTTAATGGTATGTGAAATTTTGTTAATTCAATTTTTGATTTTTTTTAATAAAGTTTTTGCTCTGTAAAAATTTCTAAGTCATTGTGTCTTATACTTTGATTGCTTGAATTTCCCTGCGAGTTAAATAATTGGTTATTTCGTACTTAAGTTAATTGCAAATTATTTCACATAATAATAAAATTAGAGGATTATTAAGGTTTCTGAATAAACTTCTGGTTATAAACAAAGGTGTTTTTCTTGTTCTTATTGCTAAATTTGGTGATTTGAGTCAGCTGACATTTGATTCTTGTCTATGATTAAAAACTAAGTTTTTAATCATTATTATATGGATTTGAGAAGGAGTACCTGATGCTTTAGTATTTTTTATACTATTTTAATTACTTTAATCAATTTTCTCATTTCAAATATTCTTTCAAAACAAAAATCTTCACAAGTTTTTCTTTAGAATTTTAGTGTGATTTCTGCTGGTTTTTACAATTTCCTGAGGGTTCGACCTCGGTCTTTCAAAAAATATATTACTTCGCACAGCATATGCTTGGGTTTACACATTTGAATCTATAGCACCATTCTTCTCCATGTTGAAAAGAGTGGTGAAGTGCACCTAAGAGGAGGAATGCGATTGGGCCCTAGAACGAATCAAGGAGTATTTGAAATACCCTCATAGTTTATATGTTCTAGTAGCTGGCGAGGTCTTAAACCTCTACTTATCTATTTTGGAATGTGAGATTAGTGGGACGCTGGTGTGAGAGCTCGACAGTGTGTAGAAGCCAGTGTACTATGTTAGAAAGGCCCTGCTTGATGCCGAGATAAGATATTTGCTGATGGAGAAGCTCATACTTGCCTTGGTCGTCTCGGTAAGGAAACTTAGGCACTATTTTCGAACTCATCCTATTGAGGTCTTGACGGATTGGCCCCTTTGGCCCATACTCCACAAAGTAGATATGCCAAGGAGAGTTGCTAAGTGGATCGTGGAGCCGGGAGAGTTTGAAATAAGGTACAAACTTTGTACCTCCATCAAGGGGCAAGTCCTTGCTGATTTCATTGCCAAGTTCTCTGCATCCGAGTTTCCTACAGAGGAGAAAGTAGTGGATTTCGATCACAATAACATTTGGAGCTTACACATAGATGGATCCTCAAACGCAAGGGGGCAAAAGTGGGTATAGTCTTGGCCAATTCTGGAGGAGTTACGGTGGAGAGAGTTATTAGGCTCAGATTTAAAGCATCTAATAACGGAGCAGAGTATGAATCATTGTTGTTCAGACTTGACATTGTGCACTCGGTCGAGATTAGGCATTTTCATGTTTTTTGTGATTCCCAATTGGTTGTAAATCAAATCAATGGAAACTTTGAGGCCTAAGATGACATGATGAAAGCCTATTACCAGAAGGCAAAGTCGAGAATAGAGAAGTTCAAAAAAATAGAGGTGTCCCAAATTTCTATAGATCACAATCTCACGCCGATGTATAGGCTTGCCTTGCCTCGGCCCTTGCCTCAGAAGTTACTTGGTGTATTACTATTTACTACATTGAAAGCCCAAGTATAAGGGACGTGGAAGCCAAGGAGGTGCCCCTAATTTGCATTTGGGATCTGCCTCCAAGCTAGATGGATCCCATAATCAAATACTTGATAGAGGGAACGCTCACCGAGGCTGTCAAAGAAGCCAGGAAAGTCAAGCTGAAAGTTCCTAGATTTTGGATGTCCCCATATCAGAATTTATATAGGAGATCCCAAGGAGAAAGTTGAACAGTTGTTGTATGAGGTTCATGAGGGAGTTTTTAGAAGTCTCACGAGAAGAAGGTCCCTCGCACACTGCACGACATCTCAGGGATACTAGTGGTCATATATGCAGAAAGACGCTAAGAGGCATGTTCAGAAATGTGACAAGTGCCAAAAGTTTATCCCCATCATCCATCAGCCGACGAGAGACCCAAAACCTTTTACGAGTCTGTGGCCATTCTCTTAGTGGGGCATGGATATAGTGGGGTTGTTGCCGAGGGCTCCTTTGGGCAAGAAGTTCCTCTTAATTATTACTGACTAATTCACAAAATGGATTGAAGCCAAGCCCTTGGCCCGTATTTGGGATGTTGAAACCAAGAAATTTGTATGGTAGAATATCATTATTTGTTTTGGTAACCCACGAGACATCATGCCTGACAACGGCACCCAATTCAACAGTGGGCTATTTAAGAAGTTTTGCTCGGGATTCGGAATAGCAACTATTATTCCACCTCGCCATATCCTCAGTGTAATGAGTAGGTGAAAGTATCCAATAAGACAGTGTTGGCTGGGATAAAGAAGAGGTTAGAAAAAGCTAAAGAAAGGTGGACCGAGGAGCTGTTGAATGTCCTATGGGCATATAGGACCACTCCGAAGACTTCTACAAGGAAAATTCCCTACGCCATCACATATGGGGTTGAAGTTTCCATACCTTTGGAGGCAGGACTCCTGACCATACGAAGCTAACCTTCGAGTCAGGAAATAACAATCAAACCTTGGCCAGTGATCTTGATCTGGCTGAAGAAAGGAGGGAATTGGCGTTTGTACAGCTAGCCAAGTATCAAGGGGAGTTGTCGAGGCATCATCAGAAGAAGGTCCGAATAAGGAGTTTTCAAGTGGGGGATCTGGTGTTACACAAGGTAGTGGGCAATACTCGGGAATTGGCTAACAGGAAGCTCGGTCCCAACTGGGGAGGGTCCGTACAAAGTCACTACCTTGGGGCACATGGGGGCATATTGGCTAAAATACCTGGGTGAAAAAGATGTAAACCGACTATGGAATGTATCAAATTTGAAGAAATATTATCACTAAGTTGATTTTAAAAGCTAAGTTTCAAGGTCAAGATAACATGAGGAGTAAGGCCCCGAGAGGGGTAAGCCTCCACCTTGGAGCATTGCTTTTGAAAAGATAACTCAAGCCTTGGGTTTGTTCGTTAGGGGCAAAGCCCCAAGAGGGGTAAGCCTCCACCCTTGGAGCATTGTTTCCAAAAAGATAACACAAGCCTCGAGCTCAGTCGTTAGGGGCAAGGCCTCGAGAGGGATAAGGTCCACCCTTGGAGCATCACTTTCAAAGAGATAACACAAGCCTTGGGCTCGGCCGTTAAGGGCAAGGCCCCAAGAGATAAGCATCCATACTTATCCATTTTCAAAAAAAAAAAAAGAGGAAGCTACATGAGTCTCAGGCTCGATAATTATCTAATCTTGTGCACAACATAGTTCAAAAACACTATTTACCAGAACAAAAAAAGAGACGACAAAGAAAGGAAAATGCATTAACAAGGGGAGGCCGTGCATTTTCCAGGCATACAAAATAAAAAGAAAAAAGAACAAGTCCCAATAAGTTCCTAGGGGGTTCTTGGGTCCAGCCTCATCACTAAGGTTACCTCTGAGCTCCTTGTCGTCGAGCCACTCTTAGTGCTTTCTCAGAGACCTTCCCCTCCAATATCGAGCATTTCATCAAGTTCCCTAAACTCGGCTCTGCCTGGATTGATAATGGGGTTGTTAGGGATGGGAGGATCCTTGGGATGCATGAGAACTGCTGGAGAAGAAGATGAAGGGGAGACATTTCCTCTGAATCACTGTCGTTGACGGTAATTGGCACTATCACTGTCGCTGTCTCCCCCGTCTCTTCAGCAGGTTCCTCCGGGACCACTGCCTCAGTGCTTGGCTGGACGACTAGTGGAGCTATAGACTGAGTGACTCCTTGTTGGGGCAGATAAGAGTGTATCAAAAAAAGCTCGAAGTCAACAGCTACCCCAGTGGCTTGAAGTGCCTTATACCAACCCTTTTTGAAGGAATTCTTTTGCCCATCATCAAAGGCCAGGATGAATTTCTCCTGGCACTATTTGTAATCGTCCATGCAGGCAACGTTCGTCCTCCCAGCCTTCTCCTCCTCCAGCCCCTTCACCTTTGAGGCCAGGCCGCATAGTTAGCCTCGACTTCCAACAACTTAGCTTCCATAGCAGAAACCTTTAGCTCGGTCTCTTCCATCCTCCTCACAACCTTGGCCTCAGACGTCTTGCTCTTCTCAAGCTCAAAAGTTGTGGCCTTGGCTCTCCGGAACAGATTGGCGATGCTTTTGGTCTAATCGACCACCATCGTTTCTAGTTGGCCAAAGTGGCAATCTTTATTCTCGAGATCGGCATGGACTTCTTGACTTTGGTCCGAAACTCCCAGAAACAGTCAATAAGGACCCTCATTTACTGGCAGACTTGGAAAAAACAAAGTTAAAGACATGGATAAAGAACAGGAAGGTGAAGGGAAAAGTGACAGAATGCTTACCACCAAGTTGTGTTGAACCACCCCCTAGAGGAGGCAGTTATCCCCATACTCTTCGAGAATCCCCATGTCGACAGTGAAGTGTAGAGTCCTGGTGACAGCGAGGGCCATGTCAGTGGAGTGGATGATGGAGTCAGACTCCAAAACGGTCTGCCCCCTCCTTATGACGGTTCGAGGGGCCCATCCAGTGGAGGCAGAAGATGTTGGGATGTCATGCTGATGTTTTACTGGCGCTCAATGGACAAATCACCCTCACGTCCATGATGTTGTCTTTGTCGGTCACCACTTCGGTCTGAGGGTTCCTCTAGCACTGTCGCCACTGATGTTGGATTCCCAGCGAAACTGTTGCTATTGCAGTTATTGTTGCCACTATTGTTCTTCTTGTTGTTATTGCTGGTGAGGGGGAGCAGGTGGTGGGATCACGATAGTCGCAGTCCCAAAAGTGATATCGGGCTCTGAGGTTATAATCCTCCTTGCTATGAAGGCGGCCTCCAAACTTTCTACGGTGATGGGGGATGTGAAGCATCTCAGTTTCAAAAGGAGAGCTGTGTATCGAGGGGTGACTTCAGAGTTGCAATCGAGGTCCTCTTCAAGGTTTGCTTCATCTTCCTCTTCCGAAGAGTAGTCCACCCAGATGGAGGGATCGAAAGGTGGAGGAATTTGGGAGAATCGGGTGTAGCCAGGGTGGTATTTGAGGAGCACGTGTGCTATCCAAGAAAAAGGGTCACCATGGTTATAGGACCAGACATTCAGAAGATCGTCAAAGGCAACAAGAGCTTTCGAGGGTAAGGTAGTGTCCCTTTTGTATCCCTCTGCAAAGAAAAATGCAAGGTCAGAAGCAAGAATGACGGCCAAGTGGTGATGAACTCGGTAAAGTTCACACTTGGAATCATCGGTACTTGGGGTAGTAGAGTCCATCATACACGGATCCTTCACCCGTCTCCCATCTACCGCTGAGCATGATGAGATCCCTGGTGTACCCTTTGTCCAAGTCAGGCATATATGTCACCAAGGACTTGGTGGGGTCCCGTGACTTCAAGTAGTACTTGCCATTGATAAGCTGCTTCAAATCACTGCAAAATAATATCTCATCCACCCCGAGATTCACTCCCAACCGGGTGTTCAGGGCAACCATGCCCATGACTATTCTAAAGAGGCTAATACAACACTAGAGAAGGAAGAGTCTTAGACGCATGAGGACTCTAAGTAGAAGGGGGAGAGGAAACCTAACCCCTCCCTCCATGATAGCCTTGGTATGGAAGGGCATAAGTACAACACTGCCCACCTCTGCCCTATGAAACTTGGGGTCAAAGACAAAGGTGAAGACATGCTCGAGAATGTTGTAGGTAGTCCTAAAATCCTCTATAATGGTATCAGTTGACTTGATCCAAAATGTGTACACCCAAGTGCAGGCGGTCAAGCTGTAGTAATAATCCGGTTAAGTCCAGAGTCGAATAACTATGATTGGTGTTTTGAAGTACGCAATAATAGAGACCAAGTAACTGAAAATGTTGAGAGTTTGAAGGTGTGGAATTTCTTGAATAGAATAGAAGATTATGTTCAAGAGTTTTCTAGAAAAAATATAAGATAAATTCAAATGTAAAACAGTCACTCTTTAGCTTGAGGATCAGAACATGTAGTTGATCATCCGGTTTATTATACTTGTGTTTTATAACTCAATTAACTCCTATCTCAATAACAAGTTAATCGAACAGTAAAGATGGACTATGAGAATTAAGCACATGATTCTGATGCCTTTCTAGAAGTTGACAAGTATTGCCTGTGCCGAGATTTAACCCGTCTACAACACAAGCAAGTGTTTCTACAAGGCATCCAACCATGGCATTAATGCTCCATTCTTTAGATAAAGCTCAATAACGGTGAAGATTGAAATGTTGTCATGAAGATCTAGCCGGGATACTTACTTTGAACCCACGGGTCCTTCCATGCAAGAGTCATCCGTGACATAGAAAGAACCTATGGTTATACAAAGCACCTTACCTTTGCTAGATACATTCAATCATTCAATGAACAAGTGAAATATAAAGCATTAAAGCAAAAAGGGATTGCACAAATATAACTTCTGGATAATTTCTACATATTCATCACCTCTTACTAAAGAGTGAATGAGGAACTACTCACTTTTCATGGCTTGGATAAAGCTAGAAAAGTGAGTGATGTTCATCCCTCCAAGTAGAGAACTTACAAAGTAAAGTACAATAAACGAGGAGCCCTTCTTCGACGAAGAATGAGGAATCACATTCCACCCTTCACGGCTTTGGTAAAGCTCAAGAAAAGTGGAAGAGTTTCACTCTTCTAAGAAAGAAGGAAGCTCAAGCAATGGAAGTGAAATAAAAGAACATTGAAAGTAAAAGAAAAGGCAAGTACAACTACAAGGGGAGTATAAGCCTCCATCATGCTTATCACAACATGAATGTAAAAATTTAGCACAAGTAAATAAAATACTTCAACTACAAGGGGAGTCTTAGCCTCCATCATGGTTGATACAAATGCAAAATGAAAACATAAACAAAAAATGTACAAAAACTAGCTCTCTACTCTACTCTACAAGAGAAAGATTGCACCCAAAGCTTCCTTAATGGGAGTTTTTATAGGCAAGGAAGAGGAGGGGGTGAAGGAATAGTGTTTGTCGTCCAAGTCCAAGTAAAAAGCCAACAACTCTGTAGCCAGTCAGTAGGGGACGTTCGAACGTTGTGTTTGTTTTTGTTTTAAGGGCTTTCGAACGTGATTTGTCGTTCGAACGATGTCTCTATCTTTGCTTTAACGGCATTCGAACTCCAAATGGGGTCTGAACCCCCCTACTCAAGTGGCATGTGGTCTCTGTGATGGTTATTTTCATACGTCTTGAACAACTTTGACCCTGCACTCAGATACTTGGTCATCAGTAACTCAAGACAATGTTCGAACGTGGAGTGGCGTTCGAACGTTGTACTCAAGTACTTCTGTGGTTCATCTTTCTGTGCTGCAACACGCCAGCAGGACTCAGTAGTCTAGTCTTCTCAGGATTCTAGAGCACGTTCGAATGTGAGTTGGCGTTCAAACGTGGTCCTCAAGTACCTCAACAATTTTCCTTTTTGACTGCAACACGCCATGTCTCAGCAGCTTAGTCCTCAATCACTTCAGGGGAACGTTCAAATGTTGATCCACATTTGAACGTTCTTGGTTTGTTCCAAGTTTTTTCAATTTTGCCCTTAATCCACTAGTGTTACATCCAAGTGTGATATTTGTTGTCCTTGAGCTCTTGTTCACTTTAGGACCTGAAATGTCATCACTTAAACTCCATCAAAGTATAACTAGTCCTAAAAAGACATAGTAATATGTAAATTTAAGTACTAATCATCAGTCACCTGGGTTTTCCTCAACCTGACTGTATCACTAAGCCTATTGGACTGCCTTGGGGGCTTGGTTCTATGTGTGTTGGCCATTGGAGTTTTTTCCTAAAAAGGGCAATAAGGAGAAAGAAGGGGATGGAATCAAGAGGATACTTACAGAAGGTGTCTTCAAAGGATTTCTTGGAGGGAGATGCTCGGGAGTAAGAGGAAATTCTGCTCGGGAGAACACTATAACTTGATTGTTTGAATGACCAAAGATTACCAAATGAGGCAGACTTCCCTATTTATACAGAATAGGACGTGGGCGGGAATCGAGGAGAGAGGCCATCAATTGGGAATTTAAAATTAGTTGCCAAACGTGCGTGTAACTGCCCACAATGATCAGGTGTGTTGAGGAAGCCTCCATTCTTTGTGCGCCACCTGTCCTATGAAGCTAGAAAAATGGAATTTGGGGGGCAGTTGAAAGGACTTTAGGTGGCCTGACAATAATGCATGGACACGTGGGCAGTTATAGATACTAGGGCTTGCTCTAGGAGAGGTGCTGAGAAGTTATGTTAGAAAGGGCTGAGTACGCCCCTTAGAACCTAACAATAAAGAAAATTTGACAAATCATTGGGTCTTGAGTGGCTATAACGGAGTCATTAATGACTGTCCAGATCCTCGAGAAATGTGGAGGTTGTCATCATTAGAAGGTATTCATGGCTATTATGCCGACATGAAGTCCTTGGTCAGCCCCGAGGGTGCTTGTTCTCGAGGAGTAGGTGGCAAGCATCGAGAAGAGGTATTCAATGATCAGAGGTTGGGCCATGAATGCTCGACGGTTCCCGAGCAAAGGTCCACTCGCCTGAGGAGACTAATTTTAAGAAAATTTGATGAGATGACATTCATTATGATAGGATATGAGTGCATACCATTAAATTCTAAGATTGGACTCAAGGGCACCTCCATCATTGCAAACCTAGGTATAAATATCTCTCAACAAGTTGGACTAGGTACGCAATTTGAAAAAGAGAGAATATATTGTTCTTTATGGCTCCAACGCCAGACTGACTTGAACTTTGGATGGGATTA